CCTAACTCCGGTGGGCATGGGAATCATCTGGAATGCTTGTTTCCAATGCAAATGTTGGCGGCCCCATTCTGAGGGCAATGGCGTGGGGCTGGGAATCTGCATGTTCCATGCCTTTCTTGGGGGGTAGCCAGAGGTGCAGAGGTTCTGAGGTGCTGAAACCTCGTTGGACCTTTCCTTCAGGCTCGGACATGACAGCGACTTTCAGTCTACAAGGCACGTGACTGGGTTTAGCATCCGAAGACTTCGATTCAAATCCTGCCTCTGCTGTGTCTTAGCTCTGGGACCTCTGGGACCAGTCTCTAGGTCTCCTCCTGCACACACATGGCCATCAAATCGATGCCGACTCGGTGACCCTATAGGACAGATTAGAACTGCCCCTGTGGGTTTCGAGACTAACTGCTCATGGGAGTGGAAAGCCTCAACTTTCTCCTCCACCTGTACCGCGGGGTCAAAATCTCAGCCTGCAGACCATACTGAAGTTCAGACCAGAGTTAGGAAGGAAGGGGGTGTGGACACGGAAGGGGCGGAGCATGTGAAAGGGGTGCCAGCCATGCAGTGACTCTTAGACCCTGTATCTCTGATGCACCGGGAATCCCCTTTATCCCGGGACAGTAAACAAAGCCTCTGGGTGGATTTGCTTATCTCCCTTTGATGTCTGTTCCTGGCCCTTTGGGGACAAGGGAGGGTTTGAAGCCTGACAGGCATGGGGGGTGGGGGGCAGCCACTGGCCCTGGACTGACTGGACTCCCTGTGCTGGCCCTTCAGGTCAAAGTGTGGTTCCAGAACCGGAGGATGAAGTGGAAGCGTGTGAAGGGGGGCCAGCCCACCTCCCCAACGGGGCAGGACCCTGAGGACGGGGATTCTGCAGCTTCTCCAAGCTCGGAGTGAGATGCTCTGTGGAGACCGAAAAACTGAGGACTGAGCCTCCCGCCCCCTGCGCACCCCCAATCCCACGCCCCTATTGCCCGCACCCACCCCAGGGTGGCCTCCCCACATTTCCTAGTGCCCAGCATTCCTAAAGACCCTGAAGTTTCCCAAGAAACTGTTCAGCAGGGTTCTGGCTTTAGGAGCCCCGGGGGAGGGCCTTCTGATTCCCACAATTCTGAGCTATCTCCCAGTTCCTACTCATGTGAATCCAGGGACCAGCTCTGGGGGACGCAGCCTCTGGGGGTGCCACCTGTACCCTCTCCTGCCATCTTTTTCCTATGCAGTCTGGCCAGCTAATGCCTTATGACAGAGAACCTTCCAGAAGGAAAGAAATGACCGAGACCCTCCATCTGCAGGGCTGCCTCTCCTCTTTGGAGTGAAGGTTTTCAGTTTAGGTTCTCCGGGGGAGGAGGGTGGAGGACAGAAACCCAGCTGCAGCGCCCAGGAAACCCATCCCTGTCCCAAGTTTATTGGCTGTGAAGTGGGCGGCCTTACGAGGTTGATTGAGAGAAGACAGAAAAATCGCGTGGTGTAGAGCTCCCTGGCCCCCAAACAGACCTGCTGACCGTAGCTTGACTGAGTGGGTGGGATGGCATCTGAGGACAGCACCGGGTCCCTCAGCATCAATTCAGCACTCGAGCCGGCCCGGAGCACTGGAGTCGTGATCCTGTCTAACTCCAGTTTCTAGATTGAAAACCTACCCGATGCCAACCCTCTTGAGCTTGGTAAGTGGCCCTCAACTTCCGGAGGGCGTTCTGAGGATGCCAGCCGCATCCTGGGGCTGGGTGAGGACTTAGAAATGGGAACCCTCGCCGGGAAGGTTCTCGGGCTCTGGTACCCCGGTTTTCCAAGGACTCTGACTGCAGTGGGAAGAAGTCCCTCTTCCTCCACAGGGTGCATTTTAGCCTATTGGAGCGCACCAGCGCTTTGCAGTGGACATTAACCTAAAGGTTGGCAGTTCGAACCCACCCTGTGGCACGGGTCCAAAAAGGCCCGGACATCTGTTTCCGTGCAGATTACAGCTAAGAAAGCCCTAAGGAGCAGTGCTGCTCTGTAACACGCCAGGCCGCCCGGCTTAGAATTGATTTGATGGTGTCAGGTGGTATGTTCCTCAAAGGTTGTAACTGTGGAAGTGACCATGAGGGATGGGCAGGTGGGAGCACTGCCTGGCCCTCAGCTGCTCTTCCGGGGATGACCCTGCTGATGACCAAACTGCGTGGGACAACTGAAACCTGGGACTGAGAGCCCCCGCCTGCCTGACCCCAGCTTCTAATATCAGTGGGCCTTGAGTCATCCAGCGTGTGGACTTCTTGCATATTAATTTAATCATCCCCATGTAAAAATGGCCCCACTGCCCATCCCAGAAGGACAAGCCTGGTGGGAAATGATTGGCTAAATGAGACGACTGGTTAGTGCATGTGTTGTGTTTTTTCTTCCCTAACTCATAGTTCCTATATTTTCTTAAGATTGCATCAAGTTAACTGTGCAAGGTCAACTCACTTTGTAAAAAATATTCTTGGAGAAATAAAATCAACTAAAAAACAATGTGTGCGGCCCTTTTCCTTTGGCCGCTGAGAACCACACTCTGGTGTGTCCTGTTTTGTCCCTCTGATAGGTCACCTGACAAAGTCCAGGAGGAACAGGAAAGGTGTGTGTGTGTGTGTGTGTGTGAGAGAGAGAGAGAGAGAGAGAGAGAGAGAGAATCACCCAATCTCAGTTGGGTTCTTAAAAAAAGTGAGTGCAAATATAATCATTGCCAAAAAAATTTTTTTTTTTCATGGGGATGGATATCTTCAATTCCCCTTATAAAGACTTAACTGTCAGTCTCCCAAATGGCATAGTGGTTACAGGTTGGGCTGCTAATCACAAGGTCGGCAGTTCAAAACCACCAGCTGCTCGGCGGGAGAAGGAGGAGGCTTTCCACTCTCGTAAAGAGTTAGTCTCGGAAAGCCACAGGGGTATTTCTGCCAATGAGTGTCCAACTATAGAGTGTCCATGAGTCGGAAATGACTCAATGGAAGAGAGAGTGACTCAGTTTCCCTTAGGGTTTCTCAAAGCGTCAGAGTCCTGTGCACAGAAGATGAGTTCTTTTTTTCTAGGACCAGGATCTTTCACGTAAACGAACCATCCTTACTTGTGAAATTCCGAGTTTGGAGATGATTGATTTATTTAAGCACAGAACAAAATATACCAAGAGTAATAAAAGTGACCTGGGTGGGAGTCACCAATCCTGTATCTTTTTAATCGGGACAATACTTATCTCACCAAGATGTCGACAGTGGATAAAACAGGACCGAGGACAGGGGAAGGCAGGATGCAGGAGAGAAGAGGTAGCCCTGCTCCGGTCTGAAGCCACACGAGAGCAATTGAGAGAGAGGAGGCCAGGTGTGAGCATGGCTGGGGGTGACATCATCAGGAAATCATGCCCTCCAGAAGCAAGGTGGCCAAAGAAGGAGTTCAACCAAGGTCTAGGTTCAAAGCCAGGCAAGCCAGACACACCCACAGGCGTTCATTCCAACACACTGCCAACTGGACACTCGACTCCCTTGCCTTTTGGGACTTGGCCTCTCCTGGGGAAAAGGCTTCCCCCCCAAAGGCCCCGTCTCTGTCTCCCACGCAGATCCTTCACCGAATACGTTTGTCCCTGTGGTTGGTCCCCAAGCGTCCCCTCTTCTGCACAACACCGTTTCCACTCTTCGCTCTCCCCAGAGGATCCCACTCGCCTACACACTCACCTCCCCCGCTCTGTGCTGGGTGCTGTCCTAAGAGCTTTACATGAATGTGCCAGTTAAGTGATCTTAACAATCCTAAGAGTTACACTATCATTGGCAGTTTACAGATGAGGCAACCATGGCAGAGGGAAGGTAGGTAAATCGCAAGGTTTTAGAGCCAGTAAGTGGCGCGTGATGCTGGACACCATGCCAATGGTGTTAT